GTTGAGTGCACACAGGTCCACAAATCTCTCTCCATTCTCGTCCATCACTCCCAGGGCATGGGTGCCCATGATTTCGTATCCAGTGTTGTCTGACCCAATCTTGGCATTGACATCTCCCATGAGGATGGTGAAATCCTTGTCTGTATAGGTCTCGGGGATCTTCTGCAGTCTGCTGTAGAACTGATCTTTATCCTCCTCTTCACTGTCGTTTGTTAGAGCGTAGCACTGAACAATGCTCATCTTGATCCTCCTCCTCTTGGTATGGAAAGATGCTGTGATGATCCTGGGGCCATGCGACTCCCATCTAATCAGAGCCCTCTATGCCTGTTTGGACAACATGAAGGCCCAACATTGGGGAGAGTACTGCCCTAATTTCAGTCCAAACACAAGGGAGCCTCCTACTTAAGGAACCTCAGCAACTGGGGAGAAAGCTTCAACCTTGTTCTTATAAGGGAGCTTCCTACTTAAGGAACCCCAATATCTGGGGGAGGCAGCTACAACTTTATTACTATTAGGGAGTTTTCTACTTAGAAGACCCCCCCCTCCCCCCAAAAAAAGGGGGAGGCAGCTTCAACCCAAATACTATGAAGGAGAAAAACTATGAAGGAACTTCCTGCTTTAGAGACCCCAAATGTCTGGGGGTGGCAGCTTCAGCTTCATTGCTGTCAGGGAGCTTCCTACTTAGGGGACCCCAGTGAGGGAGGCAACTTCAACCACAGCACTATGAAGGAGCTTCCTACTTAGGGGACCCCAATATCCAGGGGAGGCAGCTTCAACTTCTTTACTGTAATGGAACGTCCTACTTAAGGGACCCCAAACTCTGGGGAAGACAGCTTCAACCTTGTTATTAGGGAGTAGCCTACTTAGGGGACCCCAGGCTGTAGAGGAGGCAGCTAACCTGAACAAAATGCAATATAACTTGACACCAGTAAGAAGAAATTAGAAAGCAAATGTGGAGAAACAGTGAACATCCTAACTCCTACAGAAAAACAGCATCAAGACTGGTTGTGCTCTTAACGCTCACAGTCAAGTCATCTGCCAGACCTATCAGAAGAGAGAATATGTTTTTAGCTAAATTAATTACATCATTAAAATTATCGGTCCAACTCCAGGGCCTGATGTAAGTGTGTGAACAATTTCTGGGGGAAGAGGGAGGGAAGGTGTTGCTCGATGTTGCTTTTCAAATCTCTTTCTCTGAATCTCCTCTCTCATATCTTGCTTACTCTTCCTCACACCACGACTTTTCTGTGTCGTACTCCTAGAAGGAGGAAGAGCGCAGGATGTGATGCTCACCTTCTGGTCCTGTCTTTGGTCCTCAGACCTAGATGAACCAGGCCCCACAGAGCCCTGAGGAGCAGATCTTTATTGCCGCAGTATAAACCTTTTGAAGGCCACACACTGTATCTTGGCCTCCCTGAACTTATTGACCACCATCTTAATGGATGTGTTGAAAAGCTCAAGTGGAGAAACTGGCGCATTGAGAGGAAAGCTTTTCTCTTTCTCCCCAATGTCAGCCAGGTTCAGCCACAGATGTCTTTCCATGGCCACCATCACTACCATCTATGTCTGTCTGTTTAGTGGCTCAGAGAGCGAGATTTTTGGTGTGGCATAGCTCGGCCACTGTCGCAGGGAACAGACCCGGACCCTAAACCAGTTGTTTCAGCAGATCAGCCTGGTATGCCTGTAACACAGTCATCATGTGTAAGACCCCACTGGCCTGACCAGTTGCCATTCAAACGGGATGTTACATGGTAAGGTTTGGATAACAGGGTCTGAGTCTTTAATGATGATGCTTCCCCTATTGAGAGATAGTTTGCAAACGTATCTTCAATCGGGGGCATTAACTCATATCTGTGCTCAAATATTCCTTGTGCATTCATGTAATTTGTGTTCGAGGAAACAAATGAATGTGGGCCAAATATAATTTATTTTATGATCTCTCCACCTCAGACTTATGGTAACAGGGTGGTTATGTACAGACAGAAACCGCTACTCATAAGCGGGATGGGCTGGTTGGGAGGACTCCATTGTTTCTTTGCCCTCCTCAGCCACATCCTCCTCCTCCTGGGTTGACGCCAGTAGAGCATGTCAAAGAAAGAACATCTGGATCCAGCAGCTTGCCCAAGTCGCTTTCTTTTACTTTCATAGAGGGACTAATTTATCAATAATATATGCTTCAACTCTTTCGGCATCTAATGCCTCAGAATTAGATAATCAAAATTACTAAGTTTCTTTCCTTCTTTAAGAAATCAATATGAAATAATTAGAGTTAACAGGAAGAGTTCTGAAAGGGAAAGCACTTCCCGTCCGACTCCTCCTCTGCTCCACCTACAATCCCTGTTTTTGATCTCTCCTCTGGTGACAGTGGGACTGGAACCTTGGGAAGGAGACTCTTAACTCTCAACCCTCAAGAGAAAGTTAAGCATAGGTGGAGCTTCTCACGGCAATCACATCATACAGCATGCATTCGACTCTCGAGAGAGCCGAATACACTCCATTTAATTGCTAGGTTGTCCCAAAAACAAGGCGAGAACAGAATCTGCTGCCATGAATACATCACTATGAGAACCAAACGTGCAAGTGCAAATGCTGACTACTATCCCTCGGATGAGAATCAAGGAAGAACAAAAGCTTCTTACCAGTTTTTATTACCATAGTGAGCACATTACATTCAGCTTCCTCAAGAAGTTGAACGTGCTCCACCAGTAGCGTTTGTCACACACGCATACATGTTTCCTGAAAAAAAAAGGCTAATTGCGTGCTACAGGCACTCTTTTAAACTGACGGCCGCACTGGTACTGACATTACAGACTGTCATTGATCTTGTCAGACACCATGTGAATTCCCATTCTAAAGGGAACTCATTCTATTTATTTATTTATTTGTTTGTTTTAATCATTGTACTTTGTCATTTTTATTTTGCATTACAGTAATAAGAATTTATTGAGAACAATGGAAATTACAAATAACTCCATATGTATTATATTAGAATTTGGGATGAAATGTGCATTAAGTCATTCTATAAATAACATTAGGTCCTTAAACTAGGCCTAATTTTCCGTATACACAGCATATTGTGAAAATGTTTTTATTTATAGGTATGAAATGTGACCTGAACATGTCTTTGTGATATTTAACCACTCCAAGATCAAGGTAAAAAGGTGGATGCTTCTAGCAGAGAGAGAGAGATATTTTGAGATCATTTTAATTGCATGCATACAAATGACCTTGGAAAGGAATAATCTAGTGGGATAAAATAGATCAAACATCTTGGATGTGGACTTTGGAACGTTGATGTGTGTTTAAATAGACACTACATTGTGAATCTTCTGCCCTAATTGGGTTGGATACTGTGGGCAGAAACTGAAGTGGCATTTTGCACTCCCCAAGAGAACTCCCCAAGCTCGGCCACGATGAGCCCACAGTATCTGTGTCACCATGCCTTCGTTTATCAATGTCTGCCGGCTTTTGCTGAGTAGTTTGTTTTTCCTGTGTGCATCATATATCACCTGTCAGGTCTAATGGGGGCCAGTAAGGAGGACATATGGCTGCAGAGCATTCCCTTGAGCCTCTCCTCCTCCAGCCCGAGTACAGATGGATCCTCTTACAATGCAATCCATACAGCACTGAGGGAAAACTTGAGGTTAATTGATCCATAAGGATCAGATTCTGCTATACTACAGTTCAAGTGGGCAACTAATATTGAACTGTATTGTTTAAATATTCACAGTTAAACACATCCAAAGAAACACGTGCTTCTAGTAAGTTACCAAAGATTTTTCAAGCCGTTAAATTGTGTTAAGGACTGTTATAGAATTTCCGAGCCCATCATATCTCAACCTCTGACAGAAATCTTTTGGGAACAAAATTGATTTTTATCTTCTTATATATTTTATTTTCATTAAAGGAATAGTTCATCCAAAAAAATAAAATGTGTTGAGATTTTCCCACCCTCAGGCCATTAAAGATGTAGATGAGTTTGTTTCTTTCTCAGAACAGATTTGGAGAAATTTACAATTACATGGCTTGCTCACCAATGGATGCTCTGCAGTGAATGGGTGCCGTCAGAATGAGAGTCCAAACAGCTGATAAAAACATCACAATAATCCCCAGCACTCCAGCTCACCAATTAGCATTTTGTGAACTAAATAAATCCATCATTAAGGTATTTTAACTTTAAACTGTCACGTCTGGTCAAAATATGAGTCCTCCTCCATAATAAATCTTCCTTCAGTGAAAAAGTCCACCCCTGTCGTCCTCTCACATCAAAACCCATTGACATATTAGTTCAGAACTGTTTTGGACTGTTTATTAGTTACTGCTTGTAGCCTAAATGGTGCTTGATCTTGTGCATATTTCTCTCTTGATTCAGAAGAGATGACTTTTCATGTGTGGATTACTGTGATGCTTTTATCAGCTGTTTGGACTCTCGTTCTGACGGCACCCATTCACTGCAGAGGAACCACTGATGAGCAAGTCATGCAATGCTGAATTTCTCCAAATCTGTTCCCATGAAGAAACAAACTCGTCCACTGAATCTTGGATTCAGCAAATGTTCACTTTTGGATAAGCCAGTCCTTTAAAGTGAATTCATTCATTCATCAGTGTACATTTTTTTCTGCTCACACACTGTTATTATTATTATATTTATAGAATATTTTTTGTTCCCAAAAACAAAACAAATGACATTTTCTTTTTTAATTATATATTTACAGGAAAGCAATTAAACAATGCTCTAAATTGTAGCTGTGGCAAAAGTATGAATTTTAAATCTTATTTTGATAGCCTACCTGGGATCATTCTTTAAATTTATAATGCCTTTGCATTTAAATACATATATAAACACTTGTCTATGCCCAGACAAACTAAAAATGAAACATTAGGCTAAAATGCCACTTGACTTTAATAGGCTACTCGTTTATCTGTATATTGGTGTCAAACATGCTCTCTCTCTCTCAATGGTTATTAGTGTCATTGTATCGCTTGATATTTACCATTGATACAGTGTGTGGTCTGCAGGGGCCAAAGGGACCCCGGAAACGCGCCGCGCTGCAGATCCAGGAAGCGGAACGAATGAAGTTCATTTCTCACAGCTGGTGATGGCGGATGCTGTCGAAATAGAGACCATGAAGAATTATAACATAGCGTTCGAGAGGATAGACCCGAGCATAAGCCGCTATCCCTACTGTATTGTATGGACGCCAATCCCCGTGTTATCGTGAGTGATTCTCGCCTCCGCTGTTGCTTTTGCTTCATGTTGATGTTTTCAAATCTTTTCAGTCCCGTAGAAAGAGGTTTGTGTTTATGATGGATGCATAACACCAGACATTACACCAGCAAGCGATGCGATGCGTCGCGTCGCGTCGCGTCGCTTCATCGAGCAATTGCGGTGCACACCGCTTAGTTGATGTGGCAGCCTTCTGGTATGTCGCGTCAAGTAGGTTTAATAAAAACATTAGCAGATTTGGCATTTGAACCGGTTTTACTGCGAAGAAAAACCTGGTCGCTGTGATTTAAAGGAGTAGTTCCCATTAGGAAATAAAATTCTGCCATCATTTATACTCATTTTCATGTTGCTCTAATCCTGACTTCGTTCCATGGAACACAAATATTCGAACACGCGCTCTTCGAAGTATTTTAAAGAATGTTCACATTCTGTGATACAGTAAGAGTGGATGGGGACTGGCGCTGTTGTGCTCCAAACATGACCAAAAGTAGTCGAACTTAAGTCATATATTATAGCTTTGTGTGAAGAACAGACTGAACTTTACAGTGTTGTTTGCTAACACTGTATAAGGTTTGTAGTTCAATTAAAATACGGTGTGAGAAAACGGGTCAAACAAGGGTGGATATGCAATTAAGTCTTCACAGTTTTCATATATAGCCTACCAAAATATATGTACCAGGGTTACATTGTCATGGAAAACAAAACCTGTCTAACCTTCATTATTTCATTTAGCCATTTCATTGGCTAAAAACGGCTGTTTGTGCATGTAAACATTATCCTTCCCTGTACTTAATCTCGATCCAGTAAACATGAATGATTGTAAAAAGCTATTTGAGACATTCAGAATGAAATCTGTTTAGGCCCGTTCACACCAAGAGTGATAACTATAAAGATAACTATTACAATAACTATTGTTAACTGAGAGTGATTTTAACAGTAGCATTCCTCTGTGTCGTTATTATAGCGGTGGTTAAAGTGATTACAATGTTTTCTCGTCTCTTTACATAAAAGTAGTGTGGAATGGATTGTCATAAGATGTATAGTGCTAAATGACTACCATATGCACTATATACACTTGGGTGGAATACCATGGTAATACTTTGATAATTGTAGTACATTTTAATACTTTTTTTGTAAAGTAAAATCTTTGTGACTGGACACCATTTTGTAATGCATATCAGTAATTCTATAACATGCATTATAATTTATGACCATTAGTTGCAAACACGACACCTTTGTTGAATCTTTGATGCATTTGTCCTGGGATGGAGCTTGAGTTCATTAACAACACCCATTATGTTCTGGTCTGGGATCAGAATCCAGACTCCTTCCGATAATCATTTGCTGAGATGAATTACAGCTGGTCTTAGACCAGTCCCTTGGTGTACTCCACTGCAGATTATCTCGGTGCGAGAGTTCCTCGCCCCATGTTTTCTTCTTCTCCTGTATTTGGGTCGGCGGCTTGCTCTGTAGGACACTCGGTGATAAATATGCACATGGACAGGAGCGTATCTGGGGTGCCGACGTATGCCCTACTCCACTTCACAAACTCCACCGGGGCTGTTTTATCCAGGATATACATACCGTTATTCATATCGCCCCCCTGAGAGCTCTGTTGATAATACTTTTTTAATCACTTTGACAGGTCTAGTGTCTAATCCGCTTCCTTATCTGGTTGTTCTTTGGATTGCCGGTTCTGTTGCCCTGCTTGTTAGAATCCCAAAGCCAAAATAACACGAATATGAATCAGCAGGGGAAGCTGGATTTTGGCCAGGTGTATGATATTGAAAAGGACATTCTCCAGCATCAAGCCTTGTGCTGTAAGCTGTCCTCCCAAAACACACAAGTTTGTGTATTTCCACTCTTGTGAACAATTTCAAATAATAGCCGTTTTTAGCTATTTCCTCGTGCCTTTTTTGGCTCTAGCCATGCAAATGTATTAAGTGAAGGGATATTGCTGTGTTTGTTGGTCCGTTATCATAAAGTAAACCCTCATGCAAGAATTGCACATAAAATTTCCATCTATTTGGATTATGCAGTTTTAACATGAACAAACTAATAAACTTAATCTGATGCATATACGTCAGTCGTACATAAATGAAACGGGTATTTATTTATTTAAATATAATTTAATGTAACTAACATAGCAAATGATGAAAAGTAAACTTAAACAAAAATTGTACCACTGCATTGTCTGTTGACTGCTGTTTTTCTTGGATAACCAACTATTTTCTTTTCAGATAACAATACAAAAAAACAAAAAACAATTAGGCCTAAATTTAAAATTGATGTATTTTAATTGCATATAACATTTCTATCCATTTGGATTAAACGTAATCTTAATGTGATGCATATTTGTCAGTCATAATGAAATGAAAATGGTAAGATTTCTGCACTCAAAAAAAAATAAATAATAATAATAATGGCAATATTTGCATCTATTTGATTTTAAATTGTCATATTTTCAAAATGCATTCATTTAAATTGCTTAGAATCAGCATAAATCCGTTCATTGTGAAAAAAAATTACATTTATTAATTAAAAAAGTAAGAACAGTTCAAATATGGCTGACTGTGGAACAGGCAATAATCAAATAGTTAAAAAATGAGACTGAAACAAATTGGATTAAGTGATAACGGATATATAAAGTAGTTACTGTATTTTGTATATAAAACACATTCAGTTAGTACGCTCATGAAAATAAATAGTTATAAAGAACTACATAGCAAATTTTCAGAAGATTTACATATTTACAGAGAAAATTAATATAAGCTTTTAACAAAATCATATCTTAAAACGGTGTGCTTTTGTTGGTTTTGTTGATTCCTTTTGTTTGTTGTATTCTTTCAGATGGCTCTTTCCTTTCATCGGCCACATGGGTATTTGCACCTCCACTGGAGTGATCCGCGATTTTGCAGGTCCATACTTTGTCTCAGTAAGTGTATTTACATGCACTATTATAATTGAGATAAAAGTGGCTTGTGGCATATTCAAGCTAGAGTCCTCATCTGCCTGTCCAAGAATACATGAGACAATGCATGACTGGATATTTAAATACACACTCTGAAAATAGAGTTGACATGCAGCAAGCATACGATGCCAGTGTCATCCAGTTCACATGTATACATGACAATGTCTAGCTATAGTAACATTATCTAGGTCTGTTTGTCTGACTTCACAAAGACCAGACTGCTACAAAGTTTTCCTTTAATTTTTGTTCAAGCTTCTTGAAAAACTAAAACTCATTGAAATACTAACAAGTTAATATGAGATGAAAATTGGCCTTATTTACTTTCGTTATATATATATATATATATATATATATATATATATAT